AGATAGATAGATAGATAGATAGATAGATAGATAGATAGATAGATAGAAAGAAAGATAGAAAACTGCATAATAACATCATTAAAGCACATGAGAGTTAGAATTTTTGTAATGACAATATCATAAGGATGTTTTTTTTGTTAGTGTGTTTGTTAATGTAATTTTGTATTCATCGGTTAAGCATTGGCCTATCTGATGCTACCAACAGCAGGACTTTAAAGTGGAAGAAGATTCAATTAGGAAATAAGTGTTCCTGACTCCATTTTCCATAGATATGTTTTATCGTTTTAATTGAAAAGAGAAACCTTGACTGACTAAAATATACAATATTATTTTCCAGTGGGGATGTGGATCAGTGATGAAATAAAAATAGTAGTTAAAAAAAACTATCCGGATATCTTTTGAAATATTACATAACTGTCAGTTTATTCAACCAATAAAGAGGCCGCAATATACATCAGCTTGGATTATTAGCCAATGGAAGTGAAGGAAGCTTGGAACTCGGGCGGGGTTTTAACATGTATATTCCAAGTATCGTTTGTAAGCTCCGGTATCAGATGTCGATACTATCGGAGTCTGTAGGATGAAAGGGTGGAGACTCGAAAGTGGTTGAACCAGACCAGCTACAAGAGTTGACCAGCCAGCGGCGAATCTGGCCAAAGCCTCGCTATTTCATTTTCATTGACCATTTCCCCCCTCTAGGCTTGGTTTTTAATCCTTTTCATTTGGATTTATGCTGGAGGCCGCAAAAGCCTCGGAGTAGATTTAGCGACACTGGAAGCCGAGCGCCAGGAGTTGTTCGCAGGATTGTGGGGAATGTCTCGTAAAATGTGCTTGGAATATTTGGTCATTTTGAATACTTTGTTGGGGTTTTAGTGTAAATTCAATTCAGTTTAGATTATAGCTAAAAGTGGGTTTATTAGGGAGTTATGAAAAGTTTAGAAGACACGCTAACTAGTTAGCTAACCGATATAAATGCAGCAAAACTACTTGATGATGATATTTTAGTAGATTGAATGAATGAACGAGAGAACAAGCGATTGTTCGGGTCAAAATAACCGTACTGTCATTTAAAGATCACTTTCGCTGAAGTCGGTACCGTTTGTTGTTCTGGGCGAACGCCTTTCGGTGACTGTTCGTCTTTTGCACGGCTCATCAAATGGGCAGGAATGAAATTCCAGGGAGTTGGTGGACAGCGGGGTTTTAGCACTCAGCCTTAGCGTTGAGCTCGTACTAACTGGCTGTCTGGTAATGTGAATTAGACAGAGGGAAGCTAACTTTAGCTCACGACTGATATATGTACTGCTCGGACTTGGCTGCAATCGTGTGAAGCTTACGCCCAGTTTGGAATGGGGAATACAGTGTCATGCTGCGTCTCTCCCGAGTCGAGCCCCAAACTACCGTCAAGACAACCCGCAGAGCGGCTAGAGGAGATCCAGACCAGCACCGAAGTGAGCGATGATAACACCGTGCCCTACCTGCAACATATAAGCGACAGAGAGGTTCCTGATGGTAGGCTGTTATCTTTATATCCCACACCAGTTCCAGTTATTCATTTTCCACCTCTTAAACCGTACATCACCACACTGATTTCTTCACACACGTATTTTGTTTCTGTTATTGAGAACAGCGTCTGTTAAACACATATCAACTCTAAATCTACAGATACACTGATTTACTTCACTACTGAAGGGAGAGAATGCTAGCTAAAACCCAGTTAGGACAAGTGTATTTCTGCCATTCCGCTGCCAACACTGCACCGGACGATGAGGGCATTCTTGGCAATAATTACACAGCCACTGCATCATATTGATCTCATAGGAGTGTCCGTATGAAGTTAGTACATTACAATGCCAAACAGATGAACTGGAAAGGAACAGAGACTATTTGGAATAATAGAACTGACTTTAGCGATCACGTTAGTGACATCTTTCTCAGGGATTTCTATACATATCCATTTTTCGAATGACTTAATCTAAATGTGGGGCCCCCAATCAGTTAAGCATCTCAAATATGTGTCTGTGATTTAGGCCTTAGCTCACTTTTGTGGTGTCAGTACTTGTGTCGCCTCTCTTTATTGATTCCCAGACATGTACAATTCTATTTGTGTTGCTATAGAACTGTGACAGTCTGGGGAGACCAGCTGTTAGTCGAAATCGGGTTCAGCAGTTCTTATTGGATTCCTTGCAATCCTTTCTTGCGAAACACACCTAATCTCTTGTCTTTTATGTAACGTGCTGTCTGCGGGAATGTGTCAAAATAAGGCAAAACAAGTCTTACTCACGCAGTGCTATGTTAATGTTTCTGATTGCCATTGAATCAGAGTATTTTGTCCAACGTTGAGTGCCGAAATGCTACAAAAAAAGAGAAAGTAAAGCAAAGTAACAGTGAAAATTTAGCTTTAGTAAAGTAAGCTAGATTGGTAAGTAACTGGTCATTATGAGGGTAAAGTTCAAACCTTGCTCTGAAAACTGAGTTGTTTAATAATTGCAGCCTTTTTAGGCGCATTTCAGCAGTCGGTTCACAAGTTGACATTATGTTTTGTGTCAACACATTCAGACATTTTCTGAGTGATTTTCTTCCAATCTTGTAACCATATGCTTGCAGCCTTTTGGTCTCGTAAGCTTTTTTTTTTTTGGTCTGACTTTGATTTACGCCTGTGTTTCTTAGTGCAATTATTGATTATGGAAAGTGATAATACTAATTGTTTATGAGTGGCCATTCATGGTTCTCTTCTGTGGGTTTATCATTGCTCCAAACAGAAAGCTGAGCAGCTCATCCCAAGCCCCACCTAATGTGCATTTGTACTCTTATCCTGTGTGTTTTCAGAGCTAGCCTTGGAGTCAAACCCATCAGACCATGCACAAGCAAGCACCATCTTTCTAAGCAAGTCCCAGACAGACGGTGAGATATTTAAAAGTAACGTGGGTACATGAGTAAATCACATTCAGTTGAAACAACAGTGTGAATTTTCTCTTGTAGTTAAAAAAAAAATATATATATAAAGGCATCTTCTGTCTTAAATTCATTGAATGCAACCAGTTGTTGGTACATTTGATTGTCAGTGTTATGCAGCTCATTTAGAATCTAGATATGAGTGTGTAACTGAAATGTTTAGGTCTCAAATTTAGTCTTTTTATGTGCAAAACAAATCTCAATTTAGCTTCTTTTTTTGAGAATTTAAGTACATTTGCTTGAATAAAAATCTTTGATTTATAATGGTCTTAAACCTTACTGGATATGAATGGTGCAGGAACCCCTCTAATTATTACCGCCTTCAGTTTGACTTTGCCTAACCTTTCCTTTTCTTTGCAGTTCGAGACAAGAGGAAAAGCAACCACATAAACCATATCAGTCATGTAAGTGAGCAATTTTTTATTTATTTTTCTGTGGAAGGTATTTAGTTTTTAAATATGACCAGGTTGCATTGTTAAAGGCGTTGTGCCCTGTCACTGAGTGGATATTTCTGAATATTTTTAGTTTTTGCTTTTTATTTGTCATGTTCTTACTTGCGAATGGTTTCCATAACTAATGCATAACCAATTTTCATACAAATGTTTACTGTTTATTACTTGGTTTAAACCGGTCCATGTCAAATCTATGAGATGCAAAAGAGCTGAATTCAGTGAGAAAAAAGGGAAGGTCTAAGCAACACTGGCTGTTACTACAAAGACATACAGGGAAAACAAAACGAAGGGTAAACCACCTAACCTGGATTTAAATAGTAATGAAACATGACCAAAAATATTTTTGGCAGCTGAATCACAACACATGACAAACGACTCAGTTCAGATGGGAAAAACAGCTTTTTTTTTCAGGATGCGTGAAAAGAAATGCAGCTGTGACATGCTCTACACGTCTGGTGCCAATCCTTAGAAATGGAGCTTCCATTGCCAGTAGTATATTGTAAAACTGTTTATGTAAGTGAATTAGATGGTGCATTTCTAGTCAACATGCCTATTCAGTTCCCCTTTAAACTTATATTTAAACTCATTCAGTTCCGCTCATACAGCACTTTGTAGTCTGTTCAGATTCCATATATGTTAATTTGTTAATGTTGTGACTTCACCGTCTAAAGGTATCTCCTGGTTTGATGTCAAAGAAGTACAGCTCTTGTTCTACCATCTTCATAGATGACAGCACCGTCAGCCAGCCAAACCTCAAAAGCACAATCAAATGGTGAGACTTCACACAGAAACACATGTGATCTGTTCATCTATTTAAGTTAAGTTCTCCTTCTTGAAGTGTGAAATGTTTTGTGGGTACCACAACATCCGGGCAGGCACTCGGATAGCATATTAATCTTTCATTCTTTCTTCAGTGTCACTTTAGCGATATACTACCACATCAAAAATAGGTATGTCTGAGTTAATTTAATTGCTCTGAATTCTTTTGTTTCTCAGTTATGTCGTGAAAACATGTATGTAGGTGAAACATTTTGATGGAGTTTGTTCTTTAGGGACTCGGACAAGTCGCTGGACATCTTTGATGAGAAGTTGCACCCTTTATCAGTGAGTTGATTTTTTATTTATTTTTTCTTGTGTCAATTTTTCATCCCCATAGGAGACTTGACTTCAGTCCTTAGTGTGGAAACACCATGTCGTGGTTCTTTATAAAATACTTTGAGATAGGGATGCAAACAATTAATCAATTATTGATACGAAATTACTAGATTAAAATAAATTACTTGCAATTAATTGCGTTTATAACCCGTAATTCGCCGCTAGTCCGCTTGAGGGCACGCTTGACGCCAGACGTATTTTATGCACCCACGGGACAACAACAAGACAAAGGAGACGCGGTACACTGACAGGATGAAGAGGGCAAGATGGAGTGCAGTTTGGAGTCACTTTAAATTAGGTTTAGGTCATATTTCCCAGGTTAAGGGGGATTATAAATGCTCCACATGTGACACCATATTAGCTTTTCTGAATTAATTTTATTATGCTGCTAAGAGACAGTCCACTTATTTATTTTCATGTTAAAGTAGCCTACATAGCATTGTATTTTTCTATTCGGGAATGGATTTTTCTATGCTGCTGCCATTAATGTTTACAATATTGCAGATGAGAGATGAGTTTGATTTTCTGATATTTTTTACTCAGAATATGTTTGATATTCTACCAAATGTGATTCCCTGCCCTCAAGTGAAGTCCATTTCATTGGACTGTGGATCACACATCACTTTAAAAGTGAACTGCACAGTCTCAAAAGATCAATCAAATTTATCCATGGGAAGAAACAAAACGGAAAAGATCACAAAAATATAATGATGATGATAACGGTCCTTATTGCATTTGTGCCCTATCAAAAATATACATTTTTAGAACAGAAAGACATTGTTTGATATAAGATAAAGAGTTCAAATCAATGTATTTTAAGATAAACTGTGGTAAGTTTAGATCTCACTTTAATATAACTCAATTCCCATTCAAGTTGTATCACAAAGTGATTTAAATGGTAAAAGCGATTGCATTTGAGCTCACCGGTCTTGCCTGATACTACACAATCAATCAACAAGCCAATAAGTAATACATTGGATAACAACAAATCGATACAATGAGGACCCACTATAATCAGGATAAAAGATTTTTAAAAATGAGGTAGTCATGAAATCATAACATGTCACATTTGAGATCTTCAACATAGAGCAGGTCACATATCCGTTTTTCTGTTTCCCCCGCTCAGAGAGAGCCAGTACCAGACAACTACTCGTACGTGGACCCGGAACACAAGCTGATCTACCGCTTCGTCAGAACACTCTTCAGCGCTGCACAGCTCACCGCCGAATGTGCCATCGTCACACTTGTAAGGAGCCACTAGCGTTTGCACACCAGTTGCTTTAATACTCTTGCTAAGTGAACAGATTGAAGATTTCCACTCGTGCACATCAAAGTTTTCTATCTGTCATTAAAGACATGGCTTTGTCTGTGGATCTCACGCTGCTGAAACCGAGCATGCTTCATTACATACCACAGCAGAGTCTGGGATATTTCTGTGAATGCGGTGTAGTTGTGTCATTTTGGCACCAGAGGGCAGCAAAACTCTTTAAACCGACATCTCCTGAGACAAACAGCACTTGGGGAGTGAAAGTGTCCATAAAAACACGCAAATATTAAGACTTTAATGATACACTATTTATAACACCATGTTTTTTGCTTAACCCCCCAAGCATTTAAAGATGGTGGAATTTAGATATTTATCAATCAGTGCACGAGAAACAAGTGCAAAAACATTGACTTTTTTATTCTCATTTCTTATGAACAGTAGGTGAACTAAGTTTTTCGCTTTTGGTTGTTTTCTTTTTTTTGTAAGGGATTGAACAAACAAAAGAAAAAATATGTCCCTGCCACAAGACAGAAAGACTTTGTACATCTCAGAATAAGCAGTGATGTAACTGTTGATGGAGAACACATTGGCTTTTTACTGTTGCTGAACAGGCCAAAACATTGGCACATCTGTGTTAAAAAAATCGGTATTTCTGTTCTGTTCCTCCAGGTATACCTGGAGCGCCTGCTAACTTACGCCGAGCTGGATATCTGCCCGGCCAACTGGAAGCGCATCGTCCTCGGAGCCATCTTACTGGCCTCTAAAGTCTGGGATGACCAGGCCGTGTGGAATGTTGATTACTGCCAGATCTTAAAAGACATCACCGTAGAGGACATGTGAGTTACTCTCTGCATCCCTGATTCCTCCCTGTGACACTATTCCTCCGACTTTGTCTCTTGCCTTTGACATGAGTACAAAAAGGAAAGTGGGGAATTAGCAAGAGAAGAAATGAAGCAACAGGCTTGTCTTACTTTGAGGCCGTTTGAGGCTGAATACGCCTAGTTAATGACAGCCTTAAATATAATTGTTTTGTACTGTGATCCTTACCTAATGAGCTTAAAGGTTTTTCATTATGGCTTATTTCTTAACATTTGAATTCAATATATTGAACTACCGTAAATTGCTAAAACATGATGGCTTTTGTTTCTAATTTTAAATTTCATGTACGATTTGGTATTTCCTGAGGAGAAATTGATTTCTTACAGTCCTACATGAGACATACAATTACTGATAATGATTGTGCGGTTATCGATTAAATCCAAATTGAGATGGAACAATAATGAAAATCCAATAAGATGAATATATTAAGATAAATTAAAATCCCAATAAATGAGTGAACTGTTCTGGAGGGGAGTCGTTAAAGATGATGGCTGTGAATTTTTGCTCATAGCTTGCATAACAATCCATCCTGTCCTTTCCAGAAAGGGTCACACAGGAAAAAAATTGAGAAACGAGAAGAGCTTTTGATCTGTTGTACGTGTTTACAGAAGAGGTTGGTTCTTGTTCTCGAAATGGGGACAATTTCTGCTGGCTGCCTGTGCCCTATGGAGGAAGACAAAGCCTGGGAGGGTAGAAAGGAGTGGTAGATACTATGATGTACATTATGACCATAGAAAGAGGAAAACGAAGTAAACATAGTGGGTTAGGCTTTAGCTTTTCTTTTAGCTGAAACGGATCCGCTCTCACGCTATCCTAGATTGTCGGCAAATAAAAAAACGGAGATTACAAAAGAGAAAAGATTGTTAGGCACCGTGTAAGTTAATTATTTTGCAGACCCTGATTTATTTATGTATACACTATTAGTTGATGGCCATGATTTGTATTATTTATTTGTTTTTGTTTTTTGGGCGGGGGGGGGCTTCAGCCCAAATTTTTACTCAGTTAAAGACCTTGATATATTAAGTTGTACAATGATAATCATATTTACTAATGTTTGTTTTGGATTTTTTTTGTTTTGATTTGGCTTTGACAGGAGTTTTGATGTTGGAAAAAGAAAGCACTTAACAAATGAGACAAGGCACTTGCCCCTTGTTCCCCAATGATAAAAATGAATATAATGAGATGCATTTAAAGGGGACAGAAGTAGTGTTGGAATAGATGGAAGCTGAAGCATCTCTGCTGTCTGTCTGTCTGTAAGAGGCCAGGGCCTGCACTTTGAGGACCTCCTCTTTATTTCCTACAATTGCTTTTCTCATGTCTGTGTGTAAAAGAGGTTCAGAGTGCTGTCTTGTTTTCCCTGAATTGCGAAGTTGTGCGCACCGCCTGCATGTGTGTTCATTTGGCGCGCCCCCGTCCTTCCCCGAGTCTCCTCTCATATACGTCTGACCTACACTCTGTCTGCTCTGTTTTCATTGCTGCCACTGAAGTGTCTTTGTGAGCTGGTTGTGGTCTGGATGGAGGGATGGGAAGAAGAGTAGAGAGGGAAATGGAGAGAAATGGAGGGGAGGGTCTCAAGTGCTCTCACTGCTTCTACATAATGGCCCCGGCTCTCGCCCGCTCCATTAGTTGCCCCTGGAGACCAGACATCACACATACACACACTTGTATGCACTCTCACCGCCTTTGCTGACCAACAAAGCATCCTGGATGCTGTCTCCTTGACGACCACCCCCCTTAGATTTTCTGGCGACCCTGATGATGGAGGTTGTAGTCTGGAAGAAGATGAGCTGGGATACTCCAGTGAAGTGCGCAGAGATGTACATTTGATTACCCGCAACCTTTGTGGAAGATCGAACCCCTGCAGTCACTTCTCTTCCCCGAAACTGATATACAAGTTTGCCACGAGGTTGGCGTTCTGTGCCAACTGCTACTTTACCATCATCACCTTGCTTTCAGTATCAGTTACTACCGATTAGGTCTACATAAACACAACCCTGGGTTAAGGGAGTTTACCTTGAAAGGATAGGATGACTTGCTGATTCTTCAGTACACCATTAAATCTCTTTATCAAAGTTGTGAGGTTAGTTATTGAAATAAAAAAGAAGCTAACAAGCTGTGATGAGAGCCTGGAGCTCGGTTTGCTCGCCCAGAAGGCTGATTGGCTTCCAGTTTTGAAACGCATTGAAGTAGCTCTCAAGTCAGGATGTCTGGAGTTGTAAGATAGCCAAGATAGATTATTTATTTCAGAGTCAAATTATATTGTTTAATTTCCCTGAAAGATAGCTGGATGGATCCTAAACTAAAGGGAATAACCAATTGTCTCCTTTCCCTCCAGGAATGAGATGGAGCGCCATTTCCTGGAACTTCTACAGTTCAATATTAACGTGCCAGCCAGTGTCTATGCCAAGTACTACTTCGATCTGCGGCAGTTAGCTGACGACAATAACCTCAGCTTCCCCTTGGAGCCCCTCAACAATCAACGTGCCCAGAAACTGGAGGTAAGCGGCCTCTCAGACTCTTTCAATTATTGTTTTATTTCACATTCTAACACTAGAGAAAAATAAACCAAGCAATGTTCTGGTTAAAGCTGGGAAATATTTCAGTGTGGCTTCACGCGTGCCATGCAGCAAGAACTTGAACCTTTTGTCTTTTGCTCTGTGTGCGATCGGTCGGCCAGGCCATTTCAAGACTGTGTGAAGACAAGTACAAGGACTTGTGTCAAGCGGCCATGAGACGATCCCTCAGCGCTGACAACCTGATAGGAATCCGATTCTCCAACGCCGTGCTCTCGTAGACGACACTACCGGCCTCTTCCCTCCGATCTGCAAAGTCTATATAACCCACAGCCAGCTGTGACGCTACGGTACCATAGCAACCACGTCAGGCAGCGTTCCGGCTCAAACAGTCTCTTAACTGTTCTGGTGCTCCATGTTCCACCTGTAGAGGTCTGTGATTGTTAAACTTGAAACAATGGAGTTTTTTTTGTTTTGTTTATTTATTCTCCCAAATTTTCAAAGAGAAGTAGCGAAGCAGTGAAGGAGTTAATGAATGTTGGATTGGATACGTTTGAATCGCCATGAAAGTTTTCTATTTAAAAATGTTCTTATCAGACCGATTAGAGTTAAAGGTGTTGTGCTGTAGTTATTGTTGACAGACAACCTTTGTTTTTTGTTTTTCATATCCACTCATTCTGTGGAAACGCAATGCTTTTTCGTACTCGTTTGATTAGAAAAAAGAACGTAAATGTCGAGTACTGAGTATGAAAAAACAGCAAATGACTCCAGGAGTTCCTGTGTTGCACACTTAGCAGTGTTTCTGACACTTCTACCAAACTGTGACGATCACCACAGCTCCAGTGTTTAAGGTGAGAAGCCAAATATCAAAGAATCAACCATGTTGCGGAAGTTAAAATAGTGTTTTTAACACCAAAATCATTTGTTTGGAAGACACCCATTTTTCTCGTTTAAGATTGTGTTTACATTTAGTTTTACGAGCAGCCCACAGAAATGCCTCAAAGTCCTTAGAGGTTTTGTTCAGGCTACTTTGACATCAAGCGTAAATATGCTGCAAGACAGTCAGTGTTTATCCTGCACAAGTATTTCTTTTCAAGTAGTGCCTTGTAAGCGCAAGTCCGTTCATAAATGACAATGAAGGCTGTTTAAAACAACAAAGATTCTTCTTCTCTTCCATCAGAGGATGCCTGTCAGTTTTTATTTTATTTTAGGAAATATCAATCTATGAAAACAAATCTGAACTCGTCATTTGGACATTTTTTGTTGTTGTTTGTTTTGAAAAGCAAGTTGTTGTTTTTGTTGGGGTGGGGGGGTAGTCACAGAATGCATGTTAAACGTGTATAACCGAATACAGTTACACGTTGAAATGGTGGAAAGTGCACAGAAAATCTGAGTTCACGCAAAAAAGTTTTTCTCCTAAAGTTTGTTTTTCAAAATGAATGAAATGTTAAAAAAAAAAAGCCAGTTCAATCCTTAATGTATTGGCATGATTAATGCTAATTGTTTTTTTTTTTCTTTTAAATTAGATTTCATACCAAGCGTTTCTTTGGAGGTGGTAAAGCAGATTTTACTGTCCATAGTAGGGAAATGTTGGTTTTGTTTTAGTACATTTTTACCTGTTTGAATCGAGCAAATGGCATGTTAGATGTAACAAAGGTATTTAACTGTTCACAGATGTTGGCTGAGGTAAACAAAACCCTCTGTCATCTTTTGTGTGTCAGGGAGTCCGAGGTGCCAATTGGGATTGTCGTCACATTATATTTTCACACACACACACACACGTGTATGACAGGAAAAAATACGACACTCTACAGAAAGATTTCAGAACAACTTGAATGGCTCTGTGTGTCTGTCTGGCTCACACAATACCTGTCCAGTCAGTCCGATATGAGTGTGGAACCCCTCAGACCCTGTTGGTTAGACTTCTTCAAAGATCCTGCCGGCATTATCATCCCAAGCCCAGAATGCCCTCTATGTCTGTACACACTAGAGGAAGAACAAAGAGGAGAGGAGACCGATGGACACAGCCCTCATTTTGCTTACTGTGTAGGCTACTAGTACGACATGTGTCTTCTTTTTAATTGAAAGGAAAAATGATTTGCAAATGGAGTATTTTAAATAAACACTAATCACGTTGCAAAGATTTGTCGGCTTGACTGTGTTGTTTTGTATAACTGAGGGGGGAAACTGTCAAGACGTTCAACTGATCCAACAGTTTTTATTACGAGCACGTTTTCACTGACCAAAGTACCGGAGCCCTGTAGATGGTACTTTGATGAAAGGCAAACAGATGTGAATGAAAGAGCAATCGTGAGTCTCGTGACTGCAATGCCAGGGAATCAAACTTATTTTCCAATACGCGAATGTTTACTCGGCGGGGCCACACGAAGATGACCAGACCCTCAGCCATGCACATAAACACTGGAGCCCCCACCAAGTTAGTGTTACCAGTTTACTGAGAATGCTCATACACGAGGGGAGCAAACCAACTCCACCCAGAAATGTCCCAAATATATATATCCACATATCGAGATAGCCCAGCTGACATATATAAATACAGATAAATAAGTTTGTTCCTTTGTGTAAACTTCCATCCATTTTCTATCCCTGCTCTCTCATAGTGTGATATACCCTGGACCTGTAGCCAGTTTGTTACAGGGCTAAATGGAGACAGATAATCGCACACGCTTGCATTCACTCCAAGGAGCTATTTAGAATCTCCAATTAATCTGATATATATGTTTTCTGGGTGCAGGGAGTGAGCTACAGTAGCTGTAGAAAACCAAACACAGGAAGGCCCTCCACTGGGATTCTAACCGGGTGTCCCTTTGCCTTGTGCTAACTTCATGAACAAATCATTCAAATAAGCCTCTTTAAATATATTTGTATGTGAATAAAATGTGATTTTACGATAGACGTTCACCGCGCTGAAAACACAGACACAGACGTTTGGGAGACATGTATCAGCCTGGAGACCAACTCGGCTTTAATGGTGCGAAATGGTATGAAAACCTACAATATTTATATATATATTTTTGTTATTTCACCTTTAGCACTTCTGTCAACAAGAAAGGACAGCCACACTTTCACAAACGTATCCGAGTATTAGCTTTTTACCAACAATTTGTGGCAGATATCAGCATCCATACGATCATGTTCAATCACACACATTGAAGCAGCCATTTCTCATGTGGACAAAAAAACAGGTAATGGAACTATGGATTTCATGAGACATCACAGTGAGGAGCAGAAACTGAGAATAGAGCTACAGAGTCCCGATGACTTCGTCATCTAGTGAAGCCCACTCTTCTTATACTACATTGGTTTCCATTTCGATTACTTTCTGAGACTGAAGATTATCAGGATTTCATTTGAAACTGTTGTCCTGAAAATGATCATCTTTCCAAATAATCTTAGATTTAAAACCTATTAACCTATTAACAAATGCAAAAGAGCTTCTTTGTGTGTTAATTGTAAAAAAAAAAAAAAAGAAAATCTTTTTTTTTTCTCCAGCTAAGAGTCTGGAACTTCACAGCACATTAACAAAAAAATTTTTTTTTAAGTTCAATTAAGTTTACTTCAATACAGCAGGTACTATGTATAGTACCAAACTATAGTATAGTATAGTTGTGGGTCTCTGGCCAGAAGTTCATCTTTTGTGTGAACATCCCCACTGAACCAGCAGAGGGGGCTCAAAACCTAGCTGTATTTTTTTTCAGGCTTTGATCATTGTTGTGCTTTTGATCACACAACACACACAAAAACAGTTATTTGTTCACAAAACACTTTAATGACGTCACAGAGCTAAAAAAAATTACTTGTAGAACCCATTATGAAGACACAATAAATGAAATTCCACGTCAAAGTAAGGACAGTCTCTAACAACACTTCCAGTTTGTATTCACGCACCACACAAATAGACTTATAGCAGCACATTTATACAAATAAAGTACAATTTGTTCTCCTGGCGTCATACATTTAGCTCTGCTGTGAATGTTTAGAAACTAAACATATCACTCATCTGTTTACAACAAATATGTACAATATGTACATCAATAAATAAGCTTTTTTTTTTTCTTTCTCAGTTCTCAGGAGCAGCAAATAGAAGAAACTTGAAGGGCTCTGTTGTGGATCTGTACCACAACGTAAATATTGTGAAGTCTTATCAAGTGTTTGCAGTTCTTAAAATCAGTTTTAGTGGTTGGAAACTACTTTTTCACAAAAATCAGGCACTCCATAAATATCGTCTTCCTTATCTTTGAGGTCTGTTTACCCGGTTCTTCCCCTTTGCATGCTCTTTTTGTCCACTTTTTTCCATTGTTTCAGTTTTTTGTGAGAGCTTATAATCACAGCAGGATGACAAAACCATGCAGCTCAGATATTTGCCACCATCGTCACATTCTGTGTTTGAACAACGGAGAAAACTAATGTTTTTTAGGGCCTCCAAAGTGATTTCACTGTTCCTCTGTCAGTTCATATATGGGATGGGGGCGCTTTATGGTAGATCCCTGAGGTCAGCCCACTTCCGGTGTGCCCGGTCAAAGCTGTGCTGGCCTCGCTGTACATGGAGGGTGGCACATTGGCTTTCCGCGGCCAGCAGGGGCAGCACCGAGCCCCGAACCTCCTCCAGGACTCCAGGGTTTTCCCGGACCAGATCCAGACCCCGGACGTGATGCCCACCACCAGGCACATGAAGTATTTGAGCATGAACACGGCGTAGTCCGGGCCCAGGTGGGAGCGCTCGGGCGGGCAGGAGCAGGCCAAGGCGCGCTCCCACCCGGGCCGGTAGTGCTGCTCGTACACCAGGCAGGCCACCACGATGGTGGCCGGGACCGTGTACAGCACCGTGAAGAGTCCGATCCGGATCATCAGCCGCTCCAGCTTGTCCGTTTTGGTTCCGCCTTGTTTGATGATGCTCCGGATGCGGAACAGGGACACGAAACCGGCCAGTAGGAACAGCGAACCGGTGAAGAGGTAGACCACGAGAGGCGCGAGCACAAAGCCCCGCAGGTTCTCCAGGCTCTGGTTCCCCACGTAGCAGATCCCGGCCACGGGGTCGCCGTCCACCGAGCTGAGGGCGAGGACGGCGATGGACTTGACGCTGGGGATGAGCCACGCGGCCAGGTGGAAGTACTGCGAGTACCCGGCGATGGCCTCGCTGCCCCACTTCATCCCGGCGGCCAGGAACCAGGTGAAGGACAGCACCACCCACCAGATGGAGCTGGCCATCCCGAAGAAGTACACCAGCAGGAAGACCAGGGTGCAGAGGGCCGGGCCCGTGGCGTCGTAGAGGACGTGCAGCTGACCGCCGCCAGCGTCGCCGGGGCCGCACGCCACCCGCTCGTGTCCGGCCACCAGCCGGACGATGTAGCCCAAAGACACGAAGAGGTAGCAGGCGGCCAGGAAGATGATGGGCCTCTCCGGGTACTTGAAGCGCTCCATGTCGATCAGGAAGGTGGCGACGGTGGTCAGGGTGGAGACGAAACACAGCACGGACCAGAGTCCCACCCAGAAGCCCGTGAAGGCCCGCTCGTCCGCCGAAAAGTAGGGCATGTGACAGGGCTGGGCGCAGTTGACCAGGGGTCCGGTCTGGACTCGGCCATACAGGGAGTGAGACTCCCGCTTGATGGGCACCAGGGGGTCCCGGCAGCGGCACTCCCGGTCGCACTGCGAGGAGGCCAGGGGTCTGGTCTTGACTCTGGGGGTGGACTTGGGGGACAGCGGGGCCAGGGTGGTGGTCTCGCTGTTGTTCTGGTCCATGCACAGCGTCTCGTCGCCGAGCTGGGGGAGGCGCTCGCAGCTCATCCTCTCGGGCCACTCGAAGCCGTACTGGCTCATGAGGGGGGAGCAGCCCCGCTTGGCCCGCTCGCACACGGAGCGGCACGGCGGGAGGGGCTTGCGGTAGTCCGGCAGGCAGATGGGGGTGTACATGCTGCACAGGAAGAAGAGCAGGTCCGGCGAGCAGCGGATGCGGACCAGGGGCCAGAACTGGTGCACCTCCAGCCCGACCTCCTCCTGCGTGTCGTGGTTGAACTGATTGGGCATGTAGGTCAAGTTGTAGCCGATCCCCTTACACATGGGCACCGTTATGGGCTCACACACCAAGTCTTTGGAGGCTCCCGATGTTAGACTAGGACACCGAAACAGCATCAGGACTAGAAGGGGCCACAGGCGCACGGGCAGCGCCAATCTCATCAGAGATGCCATGAATGCAAAAAAAAATCAAGAGTTATTTAAAAACTGTACATGAGGATAATCAAAAATCTGAAGAGCACAGGAGCTTATCTTAACTTTGGCTCATAATGGGAAACTTCTGCTGGATCACTCAGGGATAAAGTTTCATTCTGCTCCAAAAGAGAAGACCCAACAATAAAAAATAAAAAACAGTCTGACTGTGAAGGTAGATCCAGTTCGTCAGGCGCTCTGTTAATAAGTCTCATGGACTCCTTAGAGTAGAAGTTTAAGTTCTTTTTTTTTTTACCAGATGCATGTCCCCAGATGAAGCGCGAGTGTCCGGTAAATAATCATCTGGAGCGTCTCGTCGTAGAGAAAAAAACAAATGACTTAAAGTGGCGGAAATAAAATAAAAAAACTTTGATTCAAATTCCACAGCTATAAGAATGGTAAAAACTGAAAGCTGTCACATTTCGCAGCTGTTAAATATTAAATTTCCCCAAATATCTGCTCTCACAGAAAAAAAAATCTGATGCTTAAAATCCACCTGATGCTTTTGTTCCTCGTCGGTGTGTTCCGTAAGTAACTTGAAAACTTTCAAAAGTGTCCTGTGTGTCGCTTCCGAAAAGAAACAAGGCTCAATAATAATCCACTAAAGTCCTTCAACGTTAAAAAAAAAAAGACAACTTGCTTGGCGTTGCTCCGCTGCTGCGCTCTCCGTCCCTGAAGGCGAACTAAAACCGTCCACCGCTGCAGCGCCCACTCATCAGAGCCTCTGAGGCGTTCAGGACTGTAGGAAATGTCATAACTCAGCCGCGCGCGCTCTGCTGCCAGTCAGAAAGCTCAACACGAGCCTCCTGATCTAAGACGGAATAAATGTTGGAATTGTGTATTTACGTCAGCCGCGTGAATAAAACTGAACAGAAATAAATCCGATTTCTATTTATTTTTATAAACCTTGAATTTAAACAACAGGTGTAATTATAAGAATGAAAACTAAGAGAATTAATTAAATACCGAATATTTTTTTCTGATTATAAGACAGTTCCATTATTTTGTGCATAGATAGATAGATAGATAGATAGATAGACAGATAGATAGATAGATAGATAGATAGATAGATAGATAGATAGATAGAGGCTCTATTGCTGTTGAACAGACTCTAAACTGGGATGATCGTAGTTTCCATTAGGACCCTGAATGCATCATTGAGTTGTCTTTATGACTTCCTGCACTAGGTAGGAGTTACCAGGAGAACTATAAGGTATCAAATAATGGATCGGTTCACTCCCCCTACTGACACTTCCCCCCAGACCACACAAGCAAGGATTCCATTTAAACCATTTAAAAATGAATTATTTCCCCCTTTTTCCAGCTCCTGTTAAACCTTTAAAATCTTTAACGGATATTTCAGGGGCATTCCTTTCCCTGTTTTTACCAATTTTTCATTAAATTGTGGTTTCATGTTATTTTTTTTCCAACGTTACAACATTTGACAGCACTTTGGCTTCCCTTGAGTGTTTCTTCTTTTATAGACTTTTTTATATATTATCAGATTTATTAACAGATACATCTGATGATATATTAGTTTAAGATTATTCTGACACTCTTTAATGTGCATACTGTATGTGATGACAGATTGTAATGTCATAATCTTACGTCCAGGCACCAAAGTAGCGTGTGAGTGTGAAAGTTTTGGTCGTGATTCTTAACAACACAAACAAAGTTCAATCACAATCCCTGGCACTCAGTAACCCGGGACAAAGATCATAATGCTCTCTGAGGGGCAAAGGTCTCAAAAGCTGTGTTTGTGTAGTTGTATAGTTGTGAGGGTGTGTGTGCTTGCTGGACTAACATGAACAACAGTACCTTTGCTACGGTTACTCTAATAGATTAAAGCAAACGGTGAGGAGTGTGAGGAAAGCCTGGAGGGAAAGGTTTCTGTGGCACAAATTCACATATGCACACAGATTTTGCACACGTTTTTTGTTTGTTAGTTTGTTTTCCTGTGCCTGCCTTACTTGACTAAGACTTGAGTACGTACATCACAAGCTTGTCGGTCAGGGTAAACACACTAACACCCATCATCTCAGAGGACCGTATTTAGGAACGTCTCCATCCAGCCCTTCACTTAAGCAGACACATTTGTACTTTTCATTTTTTCCCCGTGGTATTGTGAGGCAATAGCAATATTTTTGGCTGCCTTTGCTTCACATGTCAGAGTGACTTTGAACCCTTCATCTTAGAAAATGGGCAAAGACAAGAATTCCATTGATAATGCCATTCCAGCTTACTAAAGAATGCACATTTGAATCATAAAACTAATGGAATGTAGCAGATAATATAATCACCATCCATCCATCCATCCATCCATCCATCCATCTATCCATCCATCCATCCATCCATCCGTCCATCCATCCATCCGTCCATCCATCCATCCATCCATCCATCCATCCATCCATCCATCCATCCATCCATCCATCCATCACTATCTACCATCCATCCATCCATCCATCCATCCATCCATCCATCCATCCATCCATCACTATCTACCATCCATCCATCCATCCATCCATCCATCCATCCATCCATCCATCCATCCATCCATCCATCCATCACTATCTACCTACTGATATATTTATGGACCATAGCAACTCCTTGGTTCTTCCCATCGCATTTTAGAAATGTGTGGGATGCCTGTCTTAAATTGAGTAGTTAAACATTTGTTGTGAGAAAGATTGGTCACATCATTCACATTGTTTTCTCTTCATGGATGCCCGGGTGCAAGTTCAACTGACACCTCTCTACTCAGCTTCCAGTCTACATGGATGGACAGAGACTGCAGACCGACAGGTAGCATTAAAGGAAGAGGATGACATTGATCGTTGGTAACGTATGGTGTTATCCTGGAGATGCTCTCTGTATCCCAGATCTTGAACTGTTGGCTGAAAGTTCCAGTCCTGGTTGTCCTCTGAGAGAGTTGCCTGTGTGTCCTGTTAATGCACCATGTGTATTCATTGACCGAGCATCAAGTTCAACAGCCCAAAACCCACTTTCAAGCTGATATTCTGTTTTCCAGCACTACTTTCTCTTTCAGGATTGATAAAGTATCATTTAACTGAATTGGATCAAACTTAATATGATTGGACTGAATAAAGTATGTACTTCTCATAAAAAATGTATGAACTCTTGTTTTTATGTCTATAAGTGAACATTTTTTGGCAACGTTTCTTTCAGGCTCTCAGAACATTTGCTCTATGTGTGCCATGGCTTGGTTTTAAGATTTAAGAAAAATCGTACTTTAGTAAACCCTAACGTTTTCTATTTCCTTTTAATATGCTTTATCTAAACTATTTTTTTAAGACTTCCCTTTCAGATACTGTTCATCTGCTTGAGACACCACCATTATCCTACACTATTTTAGAAATAGCTTTCTAGATTTCAAGAGTCTTATTGCTTGACAGCAAAATACTCAGAAATCACTACTAGTATGGACTCAATTTAAGCATACACACGTACAGTAGAACTCTGTGCTCCCAGTTCAGCGTGTGTGCAAGTAGGGGCAAGACAAACATGACCACATGTGTCTTTCTTATCGTCTTAATGTTGTCATTGTTTGTCTAAACGTGGGCTTTTGTTTGACCTGAACACACCTTTGGGATGTTTCCTACCTAGTGATGTTAACTTCCCCACAGCGCATACCGGTGCGTGGTGGAGATTGTATTTTTCCAGCCCACTCTCACGTCGGCGCGGCATGCAGAGACTTGCCGCCCGTTTGAGTGAAGCCAAACGGAACAAAACCTCCGTCTGGGTGTCACAGATGTGGCCTCGTGACGTGTGGAGTTCCCTTTTTCCGTCCGTCTGCCAGTAATGTCTGACAACAGTGACAGAGTAACCAAAAAAAAAAAGAAAAAAGAGAGAAATCCCAAACAGCATCCACAATAATTAGGAAGCCCTCCGAGAAGCTGCAACTTTGTGTTGGAGTGCAGTGAGGACTTATTGTCCATGAGGTTGTAATGAGAGGTTGTAATTAGAAAAAGGTAGATCTGGAAGCTTCCATGCGTCCGGGGGGAGTCTGAACTAGGCAGGTCCCGGGAACTCTGGGGCCCTGCCAGCTTTTGTGTAGGACTTCTCTTAATGTCGCTGTAGGGGGACTGTGTGTGTGTCAAAGGCGTAGGCCTACACTTGTCATGTTGTGAGAGCAGAGGCCCGGTTCTCTCCTCTGTGACCGTTGCCCCCCCCCCCCCCCCCC